CATCCTGACCGAAGAATCACCTTTCCGAATTGCACAAGCCCCAACCCATCGCTACGCTCCATTCGCTCTCTGAATACACACTGATGAAGGCATCGCGATTGGCGGTCACAAGTTTGTGATCAAGCTGCCGACCTCGGCGAACGAACAACAAACATTCATTTGTCTGATGCGATTGGTGACCTCGCAAGTCCCAAGTATCATTACTTGCTGTGCTCTCCGTTCGTCGTGATGACGCGGAACGCTCACCCCCTCTTTAGTTCTCCATATGGTACTTCATATTTAAAGAACACATCTCTGAATTTTTTTGCACAAAACGTCCTTAAAATCATCGTTTCATTTGCAACAACGTAGTCCCACTTTCATTCACATCTCTCTGGACACTAAGGATTTCTCACCACGGCCAAACTTCGGGCGAAATGGCTACTGACGAAATACACAGATATACTGATTAATGTGTAACTGGTGATACATTAGACAAAGTTCACAACAGATAAAAGATACTTCTTTCTTGAAAAATGATCAGAGAAGTCTGCCCCATTTCCTATGCCTAAAAAGAATATCCCAGATTGCGCGAAGTCCATCATCGCAGAAAAAAACGATACTAAACTCACGGCGCATTTGGGCTGAAGAAACTTCTCCACCCATACAAATGCGAATACCAACACCATGGTTANGGGCGACAGATTACATACAAAGACATTCCGCCTTCTGTGAGCACTTCTCCTGCAAAAACGATCAAGCGGAATCAAGTTATAATCGACATAAGGTCGTTCTTTCAGGAAAGTGTGCCCGCCTTTCAAAGCCTATATGAAGATCTCCGGAATTCGGCAGTTCTGTCAAAACCTTACGAATATGATTTTTATGTATGCTTTTTTTCTTGCAGCACAATTTGCTCTCAACGTAATCAAAATGCAATGAGTTGCGTTCTTTCCGACTTACAGGGTAACAAGTTACACGCCATCCCACACTTTGGTTGCAATGGTAGTGGAAACAAGAAAAACAACCAGTTGACATCACTATAGGCACGGCACCCAAATTAATGTTAAACAGTGGATTGCACTTAAAATTATGGTTGATGGTTGACAAGTTCAGATATAAGAAAATACTTCCAGGATACTTAGTATCCGTAGTTGACATAAATCCGATTTTTTGTAGTGCAGTCCAACACATACCGATACAAGTTACGCAAGTTCTTCATTGTGCATTTTCTCCAAGTGAGCTTTTAGTTCAGTTGAGGTGAGGCACAGTCTTCTGCAATACTCACCTTTGTAGGAAATCTCCTGTCTGTCCACCTTCCTCACACGCCTGAGGTAATTGGTCTTTGATTGAAAATATGCGGCATAGCTCGCATGTGTGCCGTTCGTATTTCTCATGAGGCCGCAGGTTGGCACTTCGATTGAAACATTTCCCACGTTCCAGATACAGACAGACTTCGATTGATTTCCCACGTCCCAGATACAGACAGCTGTTATTCAACGATTGCTTGGTATCTCCTGCAGCCTGTCCTGAATGAAATGTTTGTTCAGAGACTGCGGAAGAACTTGTATGATGTTTTGCATCTATGGCACCCGAAATCACGCCGGTTTAAATGCACCACTGAGTGGTGACACAGGTTGAGTAGAAGTGAAATGATTTGCCCCAGATAAAAAAAATTGTGTTCATTTCCGTCTTCTCGGAAGTTACAGGAATGCCAAGGTTTGTTGGGTGTGCAGATAAATTTCGGCCTTTTTCTGGTTTACAGCCCAATATGGGGCGATGTATTTTCTCATCCTGGTAGGAATAAATCCTCACGGGCTTAGCAGTTGTTTCTCTACCCTGCATGGTATGTCAGTTTCTACATACGTTATGTAATGCACTATCGTTTCAAAACTAATGCGAACGAAATTAACACTAGCCACGAGTTATTTCGGCATGTTTGGTGTTTTCGATAATTTAAGCTTCGACGCGCAATCCATCCTGACCGAAGAATCACCTTTCCGAATTGCACAAGCCCCAACCCATCGCTACGCTCCATTCGCTCTCTGAATACACACTGATGAAGGCATCGCGATTGGCGGTCACAAGTTTGTGATCAAGCTGCCGACCTCGGCGAACGAACAACAAACATTCATTTGTCTGATGCGATTGGTGA